CGCTATTCTTATATCATGAAATCTCGTATTTCATCACAAAAATTAGGCTCTCGTGACTTCTGGAGAATCTTTAACAGTATCAATAGAGGCAAGCCTGTAATTCCACCTCTTTTGTATGGTTTGTCACCTCACCTAAAGACAAAGCTGAATTTGTTTGCCAAAAACTTTTCATTAATATCATCTCTTGATTCCACTAGTTGCATTCTACCTGACATAGCCGTCAAACAGGTTGATCCATTGCTCGACATCTGTATCACTCCAGCTTCTGTATCTAAAGTGATTTCCTGCTTAGACTCTTCTACAGCTTGCGGCCTGGACAACATACCCGTTATAGTCTTGCAGAAGTGTTCTCCGGAGCTGTCGTCTATCCTTTCAAAACTATTTAACAAGTGCTTATCAGAGTCTTGTTTTCCAGCCTGCTGGAAAGCAGCATCTGTTATCCCTATTTTTAAAAATTATAAAGAGCGATCCGATTTGTCTAACTACCGTTCCATTAGTCTTCTTCCTATCATAAGCAAGGTTTTTGAATCTTTAATTAACAAACACTTAATCTCTTATCTCGCATCTCATAACCTACTTTCTGATCATCAATATGGATTTCGATCTTCTACGGCTGATTTGTTATCAGTAATAACCGATAGGTTTTATCGTGCATTAGATAAAGGTGGAGAGGTTAAGGCCATCGCTCTTGACATTTCTAAAGCGTTTGATAAAGTTTGGCATGCTGGTCTTCTCCATAAGCTTTCTTCTTACGGTGTATCTGGAAACATCTTTAAGATTATCAAATCCTTCCTTTCCAATCGTAGTATAAAAGTTGTCCTTGATGGACAGCAATCTTTTTCTTATTCTGTAACCTCAAGGGTTCCTCAAGGTTCAATCCTTGGCCCTATACTCTTTTTAATTTACATTAAGGATCTTCCAGATATTCTCACATCTAAGGTGGTATTGTTCGCTGATAATACTACCAGTTATTCTTGTCACGATAAGGAGCCAACTACCTATGATTGCTTGCAGGGGGCATCTGAGCTTAAAAAGGATCTCACTTCTGCTACAGCATGGGGCTTACAGTGGCTGGTGAACTTTAATTCAGATAAAAATCAATTTTTTTCAGCCAATCGTTATCACAATAATTTAGACCTTCCTATATTTATGAACAGTAATGTACTCGATGAGTCTCCTACCCTTCATCTTCTAGGATTAACTCTTCTGATCTTTCTTGGAAACCTTATATCAAATCCGTTGCAAAATTAGCATCTGCTAAAGTTGCTTCTCTTTATTGAGCTCGACACTTTGTTACTCTGGATTCTATTCTCTATCTCTATAAATCTCAAATCCGGCCTTGTATGGAATACTGTTGCCATATCTGGGGCGGATCTTCTAATGATGCCCTTTCTCTTTTAGACAAGGTGCAAAAACGCATTGTAAACATAGTTGGACCTGCTCTTGCAGCCAACCTTCAACCTCTGTCACATCGTCATAATTTTGCTTCTCTTTCTCTTTTCTACAAATACTATAATGGGCACTGCTCTAAAGAGCTAGTGTCTCTTGTGCCATCTACTAAAATTCATTCTCGTGTTACTCGTCAATCAATTAAGTCTCATCCTTTTTCTGTTACTGTTCCTAAGTGCCCCAAAAACTCTTACTTGTCCAGTTTTTTTCCTCGAACATAAGTTCTTTGGAATTCGCTTCCTTCATTTTGCTTTCCTGACTCATATAATTTGCAATCTTTTTAAGTCGTCTGTCAATCGTTATCTTGCTCTACAATCTTCATCTTTTCTCTTCCAGTAACTTCCAATACTAATTAGTGGTTGCTTGCAGCCTTGTTGGAAGCGAAGATGTTTTAAAATTAAAAAAAAAATATATATATATGAAATCCTAAATTATAAAAATACTAATTTAATGAATAAAAGGAGTGAGATTGTTTTTAAGTGTAGACAAAATAAATCATTGAATATATAAGTAAAAGGTTAGATAAAAATTGTCAAAATAATTCATTGTAATGGCTTAAGGATTTCTATACAGTGCAAAATGAAAGATGTCAACTACAGATTCATTTTTTTCCAATTAGTACCAGTAAGTTAAGTAATTAATCCAATTAGTAAAGATGTTATTCCATATTATTATTATTATTATTATTGTTATCATTTTTAAAAAATAAATTAAAACAAGATTTATCATTATTTGACGTCAGAACTCATTCCATTGGTTTTTTTTTTTTTTTTGAACTTTGTAATGGTTTTTTAATAATATTTTTAAACGGTTTTTTCTTGATTTAAATATATGGCTGATAAGTGCCAAAAATAGCCAAAAAAGTACCATTAAAAAGTTGTTTTTTTCATCTAACCTTTAATTTATTTATTAATCTATTTTATGATTATTTCACTTTATATTGATCACTTTTAAATCAAAATAAGTTGATTATTATCACATAAACAATACAACAATATTTTTGCTCCATACATTGAGCACTCTACACAAGTCGCATATGTGATGGAAAAAATAAACTTTGCATATTCAGTCAAGAACATTTTGATACTATTCATTAAAGACTTCAAAATACAATTATTGGATGAAACTGAAACATTAAAGAATGCGATGAAAAGTTTTTTTTTTTTTTTAAATAAGAGTTCAAATAGTAAGAACAATTTACTACGATTACAACTACGGATTAAAAACATCTAATCATCCAAAACAAATTATAGAAATGCATGCTATCAAGAATGACCTAATTGATCTTGTAAAACACATTTTCTAAAGGTCACAGCAGTTTCAAAAATAAAAAAAGCATATAAAAAATATTCAAAAATCTAATCTAACTTATACGTATGCTGATAAAACATCCAATCTTTACAATTTATCTAAAAATGACTACTTGTTAAGAAATGTTATCACTTCATAACTTCAAGTACCATCAAAAAGTTTTGTTTTTTTTCCCATCCTTTATTTATTGATCTATTTTGTGATTATTTCGATATATATATATATATATATATATATATATATATATATATATATATATATATATATATATATATATATATATATATATATATATATATATATATATATATATATACATATATATATATATATATATATATATATATATATATATATATATATATATATATATATAAATATATATCAGGGTTGAGGTCAAATACATATTTGTATTTGTATTTTGTAAAAATAAACCAATTTGGCGTATTTGTATTCGTATTGTATTTGATTAAAAAATTTCTTAAATTTGATTGAAAAAATTAGCAATGCTATAAACAGATTTTTAAACAGTATTTTTTTATGGTAATACCAAAAGGTTTAAAAATGCTGATTGCATATAATTGTATTTAAATTTGTATTTGGAAATCTAGAATAAACTTATTTGTATTTATACTTTATCTAATGTATTTGACTCTAACTCAGTATGCTACGCTACATTCCGGACTAGTTTTAACTATATTAAATTTTAAAATTAAAATAAAACAAGTAATAACTAACCAATTAGTAAGTTTTTTTTTTAAAGAAAAACATGTTTTAACAACATTTTACTCAATATGGGCACCTTCGGCCTCAATCACAGACTCTGGCCTTGAAGCTGTAGCAGGTTTTCAGGATTAAGTTGGTAGGCATTTTGCCCCAGCACTACTTAAAAGAGGCGTTGAGAGCTTTAACAATTATGAGCTTTTGCACAGGCCTTTGACTCATATAAAGCAGTTGAGTGGATTCAGGTCTGGTAAAATAGAGAGCCAGTGTGTTTGAGCAAAAAATCCAGATTGTTTTGTTCTAGCCACTTCTGTTTCTTTTTCAAGGTATGCTACAATGGTCTATCCTGCTGGAACACCACTTTTGCCTTCGGAGAGTATGTAGACTTTCATTCAGGATGTCTATGTAGATGCCAGAATCAATTTTCAGCCCGGATTTGATAAAAAAACTAGAGGCATTTTTTTTACCATCAGATGAAAAAAGGCAAAAAATAATTACCTTTGTTTGAAACTTAAACTTGACCTCATTAGGAACTTATTCAAATGCCTTGGTAGATATGTAGTGGTCTGCTCCGTTGAGTCGACAGTAAAAATTTGCTTATATTTCTCTATTTTACTTTTGGCTTTTTAAGTGTCTGTATTCACGTGCCTCTTCACCCTGGTTCTTGACTTGGCCTTGAGGTCCTTCACCACCTTTCGAATCATTTTTTCACTGATCAGACTGAATTCCTTTGGATTCATTCTTTGACAGCCTTATTTTGGACAAGATTTTTGTTCTTGACTGTTTTTTTTTAAACAGCAAACTTAAGTTCAACCTGTCTGGACTTGTTAAAACAATTAATTGCATCATAAACTGTGCTTTTGGCCATGCCCATCTGCACCATGATCTCCTTGGACAAGATACCATTCCTCACAGCTTGATTATTGAGTAATTCCGGTTTGATCAATCATTCACAAAACTTTAAAGCTAAAATAAGAAAATGATTTACGATGATTTACAAAACTTTAAAGCTAAAATAAGACCATAGATGAATAAATTCAATTTTTTGGCACCGAAGTTAGTCTGAAATGTAGCACTAAATACTGTGTACGTGTATATATGTGTGTGTGTGTGTATATATATATATATATATATATATATATATATATATATATATATATATATATATATATATATATATATAAATGGCTAGTTCAGTTTGATATTGGCTCTCACTATATGAGCTGAAATATTATTTTTAATAGTATTAAACAAAACATATTTTTCAAATTTATATTATTTCAAACATACTGTTAAAGATATGTTATATATATATATATATATATATATATATATATATATATATATATATATATATATATATATATATATATATATATATATATATATATATTGTTTAAATATATAAATTAAATAACTATTAATATTATTATATTTTGTAGTAATAACAACAAATAAAACTATTATTATTATATTTTGTAGTAATAACAACCAATTAAATTGAAAGAAACACTCACGCTCTCCAGATATATGTAAACTTGAAAATATTCTATAAAATTAAAAACATTTAACAACTTTTTTATTTTAAAATATTTTATAAATGTCTTAAAAGTATACAAAAAATGCATACTTTACTTCGCCGTTATTGTTTGTCACATTTTCTACTAATTGTACATATCGTTTTCGTGTGGCTAAGTCATGCGACCTAGAAAAATTAATATATAAAGATATTTTTTAGTTTTACTAAAAAAAAAAAATTTATAGCTTAAAAACAATTGCAAAACCTAAACAATGCATCATTAACCAATAATGTTTCAATTGCTGCCATATCGTTTGCTTTCTCAACATGATCAATTCTATATAGATAATAATATATAGCATATATTAAAGACAATTTTATTTACAAGATAAAAATGAATTAAAAAATTCTATAGGACTCAAATTAATGTAAAACATATTACCATTTATATTTTGATTTTTTTTCTATACGTAACAGGGAGAGGTTAAAATATGTATAAAAAATATGTTATGCTAAATGGCTTTATGTACATTTATATAATTAATTGTACTGTTTTAAAATAAAACAGTATAAAGCCATTGAATAGTATTATGGTTGCAGCAATCATTAATTATATAAATCTTTGTTTTCTATATATACTAATTATTTCATTCTTCTTATTCCCATTTTTCTTTCTTATTTTTTTTTACAAATATATTATTCAATATAAATATATTCAGTAATTCTTTTAAACAACTAAAATATAATATTTCCCAGGTGCATAAGAGACTGGGACTAAAATGTTCTATAAATAACTAAAACTATAGCTAATTTCTCTTTAAATACATTTTTTTACTAATATCAAAGATTAAAGAGAAAGTTTATATTAAATATGTTTTCAAAAGTGAAAACTAAAAACCTAATGCAATGTCACATCAAACATTTGAATAAAGTATTAAAAAGATGACAAAAAAAAAATTCCTTAAAGGTGGTTTATAACCTATCAAACCAGTTATCTAACAGTAATATTTGGTTATCATTTCATTAACAAACCAGCAGTAGAAAATGATAATCAAAACATTAAAAATAATAACTTTAAAGAAAAACATAAAAATTTTACCCATAAAAAGCTCTAGCAGGTTCATTTGATAACATTAAATGAAATGCTTCAAGTGTCTTAACTTCACTAGCAGCCTAAGAAATATATTATCAAGTAGAATAACTAAAAAAAAACATTTTAGCAACAAATATGTTAAAAACTCAATTATAAATGAAGGTTTTACCTTGGTATTACTTAATTTTGAAGAAATTGAAGGATCAGCTAATACTTCTAAATATAAGGTTCAAATAATTGTTAAATAAAACAACATAAAATAAAACAACAAAAAAACAACATAAACTTTTTTTGTATTATATTAATTTCAAACATAAATCTCTAAATTTTTTTGTTATTTGTGAAAAAATAAAAAAAAAATACAACAAAAAAATTAACAAATGAAATAAAAAATAATTTTTTATCAAGAGCCTGTTTCTACAGCTCTTCAGGATGAACTCACTCTGAAATGTACAAATTGTGAAATAGACTAATAAAAAAAAAAAGTGGAACTTTTTTAAAACATTGATTAGTAGTTTTTAAAATCTTAAGCACTTTAAAAACTTTAATTTCTCTATCAGATGTGAAGCCATTAACAGTGATACACATTTAGATATTATCAGTAAAAAATCAGCAGTAGAACTAGATGATCAAAAACATGTTTGAGAGCAAACTATTAGATTCATAGTGAGATATCAAGAGTTTGTTAATAAAAACACAAAAACCTTAATAAGTAAGAATATAATAAGATAGCTGGATGATAAATTGAAGGATCTTAAGGATATATTGAGTTAATTAAGATCAAAGTCTTATCTCCAGAGTATCTGCTATCATTTTGTAATTTAAAAAAAAAAAAATCTTTTTTATCTAAACTTTAAATAAAATCATACTTGTGAAATTTACATATAACAAAAATTGTAATATATACTTGTATATATAATGAAATATATATATATATCTTATACTGCTGAGCATGATGATGTCATACTCACCTAACGTCAAATAGCCTGCTGCTGGGGGCCTCAGTACATACATCGACTGACAAATAGCCTGACTCGCAGTGGGGTGCTGCTATATCGACTGAGGGTTTGGTATGGGCCAGCAACCTTTTTATTCATTATTCTTTGTTTTCCCTTATCCTTTTCTAAAAACGCTCACTTAATTTAGGCTAGCAAAAAAAGTGAGCAATTGCGCATAGAAATATGCTATAGTATATATATATATATATATATATATATATATATATATATATATATATATATATATATATATATATATATATATATATATATATATATATATATATATATATATATATATATATATATATATATATATATATAGTTTTTGAATAAAAAATATTTTTAAGGGTGCCACAAAACGCTTAAACATCAAACAGGTCCCTAATATTATCAAAAAAAAGTTTTCCAAAAGTATGTCATGTTGGGTCTCAAAAGAAGCAAAATTATATAAAAATTTTAAATTAAAAATAATCATTATTTTATAAAAATACATCAAAAAAAAATTTGTAATCAAAAAGTCTTGTTAAGCTCCCTATTTTTCGTTAATAGTTAAAAAACCTCATTTTTTCAAAAAAGAATTTTTTATGAAATGATGATTATTTTTAAGTTTTTACATAATTTCGCTTCTTTGGAGACCCAACAAGACATACTTTTGGAAAACTTTTTTTTTGATAATATTAGGGATCTGTTTGATGTTTAAGCTTCTTGTGGCACCTTTAAAAATATTTTTAATTCAAAAATCTTTTTTTATTCAAATCCAGTATTACTATATTATATAGAACACATTTAGGGGGTGCCAGCAGACATTTTCAAAAAAAGTTGTTTTTAGCACTATCCTAATACATACATGTATACACACACACACACACACACACTAAAACCTTTGTCTGATCAATTTTTAAAGTAATCTGACAATTTGACCAACAGGAATTAAATTCTACAAAATAAAGCTGGCGTTCAATTGAACGTTATTGCTGACCATGCAAATGATTGTTTTTGTTTACACTGTTTAGATGTTTTGATGATTTAAACATTTCAGAAATGCGCTGAAAAAAAAAACATCAAAGGCCGTTCTCCACAAGACAAAATATTTGCTTGAAGCGAACCTTTTTGCTGTGACAAAATGCTGTTTTGATTTCCACTTACTTTCTTTTGCGCTACTTTTTTTTATGTTGTTAACAATAAAAAATGGCAGCAATAAGTTTATGCTGTATGTTTAACTAAAAACAATTATTACTTTTTTAGCATACTTTCTACTTTGAAACATATATTGAGATTTCTTTCCATGCATTAATTTTAACATATCTGTCTTTATATGTAAGATGTGATATCATTTTGTAATATAATAACTTAATATAAGGCATTTTACAAGAAAGTATAAGAAAACAAATGCTAAACTCTGAAATGAACATTTTTTTAACCTGTTTCTGCAAGAACGAACAGCAGGTTTAACTCCATGTAGAGTTTTTCACAAAAAGGTTTATCTTTGTATGGCCACTTGAAGATAAACTTTCTTATGAAGTAAACTTTCAATTCAATTTTCAAAAGTGCACACTGTCAATTCCAAAAGAGTAACTTTCAAATGCAAATTTGCATTTGTAAATTCTCGATTTAAGTCTCGCACCTTATTTGATGAATTTAACCATGCTTGCCAATTTTCAGAGTAAGTTCATATAAAATCAATAAGAACGTCAGGTTAAGATTTTTGTTTTTTGTTACTTTAAAAACAACATTCACCTTTTTTTACTGTTTACATGCTTCACCTTTTTTTACTGTTTACATCACATGATATAATATTCAAAACTTGATTGGTTTTCGCTTAATGCGATTTGCCAAAAGTCAAAATGAATCTGACTTTGAATAAATGAATAAAATGAATCAGCCTAATTGCCAGAAATGCTTTATCTGCACATGCTTATAGATGAAAAAATTTGCTTTGCGCAAATATTTTGTCTTATAGAAAACGACTTTAAGCTACACTTAAACTAGGAAAAAAATTCCTAGTTTAAGTGTAGCTTAAAGTCGTTTTCTATAAGACAAAAAAATTCAAAACAATTCCTTACGAAAAAGAAAATAAATTAGCTTAAAAATAAAACTAAAAAAACTCGAAATTAAAATTACTCTTTGTTTCGTTTTTAATTGCATTTGAAAAAAATTACTTTAAAACTTATCTTTTGAAATGATTAATTAAAGTTACGCAATACATTTTTACAAATTACCTCTATTGATTGTTTAATAAATGAACTAATTTTGTTTAAATTATCGAAGTATAAAGTGAAATTAAATTATTGAAATGAAAAAATTATCATATTTTCAAATTGTATAAACATTTTTTTTTAAAAGTTGCTAAAAAAAAAGTTTCAAAAAATTACGTGTTCTTTTTAAAATAGTAATTTTTTATTCATTTCATACTTTAATTAGTAGGTCAAGTTTAAAAAAAAAAACCTTTAACAATTCTTTGTAAAAATATAAACAACAACAACAAAAAAAGCAATTTAATTTAACATATTTATAATTTAAAATAACTTATAAAAATCTTTTAAAAGAGTTTTAGAAAGACATGGAAAAATAATTTTAAACGCTTTAATTTATTATAAAGAATACATATTAATACATTTCAAAAAAAAGCTTGACATTTTTTGGCTCACTTCCAAAAAAAACTGTATGATTGGTACTTCTGTTTCTTGCTTGGGAATGTTATTAACTCAACGTGTCGATAACTTTATTTCTTTTTTATTTTTGTTTGGTAATCTTCTATACTGGATCTACCATAGCAGGGATTGGTTGCTTTCCCAGCTTTACAGATTTTTCCATTGTAGATTAAATTTAATAATAATAATATCTACTAAAAAATATTTAAATATAACATTTAACTTACACATAATGCATCTATTTTAAACGGTCATTATAATTAATTTTTGATTTTATTTCAAGTGTAAAATAAAAACTTTAAAAAAGATCAATAACTAAAAGTTATTCGTGACTTTTGTATTGCATTTAAATCCTGATTTTTTATTGCATTTAAATTGTTAAAACCGATGACAACAGACGCTGTCAAATTGAAAAGAAAAAAAACAAGCGCTGCCAGTTACAGTGTAAAAATTTAAGTCTATCTAAAAAAACATACAATATTAAATTGAAACTGCTTTATTAAAAAACAAAAATCTGCAATGAAATGTCCAAAATAATAATAATAAGTCTTAATAATAATAATAATAATAAGGAAAGAAACTACAACTTCGCAAAACTAACAGGGTTAAGTAAACTGAATAAAATGACAAAGATTTCGATTGCATAACTTGGTTCTGTAAAACCGTAAAAATGATATTTTAAAAACTTGATCAGACACTGTCCAACCAAAACAAGTTTTGACTGGACATTTTGTTTGAGACTTTAAAAAAAATTAAATTGAGCCCTGATATATATATATATATATATATATATATATATATATATATATATATATATATATATATATATATATATATATATATATATATATACATATATACATATATACATATATACATATATAATATATATATATATATATATATATATATATATATATATATATATATATATATATATATATATACAACATCTTCACTTCCAACAAGGCTGCAAGCACCTCCCCAGAGCCAAGAAGGCCACTAAAGTTGCGGTCAACTTTCTCTTAACTCTTTAACTCTGAAACATAAACCTTGACAAACAAGACTACTGTGCGAAGTAATAAGTTAAACGCAGTACTACAAGGGATGTGGTGGAGGATTGAGTTGTGAACTTTGTGCTTATGAAGCGAGCATTCTTCCTCTACACCGTTACCATGTTTTGCTTTACTGGTTTCAGAAGAGACTGTCAATTATTGGGCAAAAGATTTTAAACTTTTATATTAAATCACAAGTAAGATTTATCAATACTTGAACTATTAAGTGCAACAAATTAAATATAAAACATTATTATTATAAATATAAACCTATTTTTTTGCCAATATTAAGAATTCATCAATATTTAATCAATCAATTTTAAAAGGTATAGAAAGTTTATAGATTAATTTAATCTTCCACTCTAAAGGCCTAAATCTGGCGATAATAAGACACCAAATATAACCATAAAACCATATTGCAAATTTGATTGTTTTTAACTTTAGTGCTATAAAACAACAGTAAAACAATACTGCAATTTGTCAATAAAAAGATCTTGTGTATAAAAATT